CCCCAAAACCCCAAAACCCCAAAACCCCAAAACCCCAAATAAACCTTCTATTACTGAAACAAATAATGAATCTTTTCAACCTCAAAAGTGGTCAAATAGAATTATACCTCATTGATCAGTCCTTCTATCTCTTCTATTTTAATAGGCTTTGAGAAGAAGCCATCAAAATATTGATTGCTCTTATGATAATCGAAATCTCCCTCTCTTTGGGCAGTCAATAATACAATCTTTCACTTTTTATCTCCCAAAATTTCTCTTATCTTAGCCGCAGTATCTGCTCCGTTGATTCCAGGTGGCATGTAATAATCCATGATAATTAATGGGAAGACTTGGCAACAGGGGGTGTTTAGCTTGTTCTTGACTGCAGCAATAGCTTCTTCACCACTAAATGCCTTCTCAATTTCGAGGTTAAACTTATTCTTAATCATCATCTCGATAGATAAGATATTAAAAGGAACGTCATCGACCACCAGGATCTTTCAATCACATTTCTTTAGGGGCTGAATCTTGATCTGAGGTTGTTCTGTAAAGAAGCTGTCTATCTTGCTAGACTTTGAACTACCAAGGAGCGAGCCTCCACGCTTTCTATTTCCTTTATTGAAGGTATATCAGGATTTCTCCTCTAGAAGAGTAAACTGATTGAGCGTACCTTCATCAAAGCTGAAAATTTTCTTTAGAGGCTTGCTGGAATACTGCTGGTCAAAACCGTCTAGCGGTGTGTTTATAGCTAAAGGTAATTTTTAGACCTTAATTCGCTTTCAGAGCTTACCAGTAAATTCTGAAAAAGCTTCTCCAATTCCTATTGAAGGTGAAGATTCTGCCTTGTGGGTGAATTTTGAAGGTTGGAACTTATTAAGAATGCTTTTCACTTCTTTTAATGAATCGAAGGGAAGCCTGATGGTAAAAGTTGAGCCTTTTCCTCTGATAGAGTCACATGATATATCTCCGCCTAGCTTCTCAGAGATTTCTTTACTAAGATACAAGCCTAGGCCGAGCCCATTAGCATTCATACCTTGTTTATTCCCTGTTTTGAACTTAGTAAATAACTCGCTTAAATTCTTTTTGTCCATTCCTCATCCTGTGTCGACAACTTCGATATGAAGGAATTTATATAGGAAAGATTCTTCGCTGAGATCGCTCTCACTCTCTGAATTCTTCTGGTTCGAGGAAGGCCTGAATTTCGACATACCTGTCTTCGTCCTGAGCAATCCTTTCAATGTTGGCATGGACACTTCTATACCAATTTTAGAAATGATGAATTTGACCAAAAGCTTCTTAACAAAGGAATAATTTCGAAAAATTCTAACATTTTCATTGGCATAGAGTAAGAATGGATATTTTTGAGGCAGCTTCCAAACCTTGGCTGAAAGTTGGTATTCAGTTCATATTTAAGTAGACAAGAGTTATGACAAGTTGTTCTCGAATGGAGAAAGCTAAGTATAATCACCCTGTAATAATTCGGGTGACTAACAACTAACTTACTTATTATAAAATTTTAATTTAAAGGGATGAGAAATGAGTTTTATACGAAGATCCCGACTTACCTTGAATAGTAGCAGGTGGGTTCTTAGGGCGAATAATCGTCTTTGTCATTTCATGATTATCATTGCTTCCCAGTCTTCGCCGCGCCTGATCAACATTGGCCTTCTTTCAGTACAAATTGATAGCTATCTTACCTTTTTGAGTGAATTTGAACGAATTACTCAATAGATTTAAGATAATTTGCTTCAGCCTTTTAGGGTCTGTTCTTATTGTCGAAGGTAAAGACTTATCCATATTGATCTCAAAGGTTATTCCTTTTTCTTCAGCTTGGAACACGAAAATATTTTCGATATCGTCAAAGAATTTACTCAAATCAACCGCTTCCTTTTGGATAGGAAGTCCTTTGTTATTTTCAAACCTTGTGAAATCAATAAAATCTTCGGTGAGGGACCTTAAAAGCTCAATTGTGCTCTTTCAGATAGACATTAGCTTTCTTGCCTCGCTTGAGTCATGAAGATAATCCTGGAGAGTGTCAAGAATGGAGATAGCACAGTTCACAGGAGTCCTTAACTCATGAGTGAGACACCCCATAATGACAGACCTGAACTCAACTTGAGATTTTGCCTGGTTTAGCTGATGGATATTAGTAGTATCCTTTAAAGTACAAATGACTTTTGAGTGATACAAATTCTCAAGCTTATAGATAGTAAGCATAAAAATTTTCTCTTCGCCCTTATCTCTTACTATAACCTCTTTCTGGTTCATTGAATTTTTTAACTTAGTAAAAATATCAAGTAAAGAGAGCTTAACCACTCCGTCCTTCTTGAGCTCAAATATTCTTTTCTGGGGGTTAAGAATCTTGGTGAGCATCTGAGAATGGTGTCTTATCTTCTCACAGCTAACTAGATTTCCAAAATACATTAGAAAATTCTTGTTTCATTTGATATTCATGAAATCATCAAAAATGATGACTGGGTCGTTGTGGAAGTCGTAGAAAATCTCTGTGAGTGAATCGCTCAGATAATAATTCTCTTTATAAATTTCAAAAACTAGGTAGAAAAGGGCAATAAATGTGACAACCTCCTCAATGATGATGGTTTGGTAGTACATTCAAAGACTTCCTAGGTAGATAGACCAATAGAACATGAAGAACTTTATTGATTTTCGGTAGTCGGGCTCGATGGTCTTCATTGACTCCATAGTTAGGATTAAGCTTATCACTACACCAATGCTTAAGCCTCTTGGAAATTCTTCATTTTTCCTGATGGTTGCACTGATACTAGTTAGTACTTTAATAAAAGTAATGAAATGAGCCATTAGAAGGACAAATCTATTGTTCGATATGTTTGACTTCTCAAGCTTCTGTGTTCACGCCATCATAGCTGCATAGCCAAGTGTGATCCCTACTGAGGGCCAATAAGTCTCCTCTCAGAAGAATCTGAGAAAGATCATGATCAGCATACAAAATTTAGACTTCTTAAATATGCTCAGGACGTGGGACATATTAGCTTGGTGAAATCTTTGATGGTATTTAGCTCCTTCCATGTTATATAATTAGATTAGCACTTCTATATTTTCTATTAAATAGGGGTTTTGGGGTTTTGGGGTTTTGGGGTTTTGGGG